ATTATTGTTTTCATTTAATGATGGCTTTTTAGATACTATCTGAGCAAGGCAATAAGGTTGTTAGTAAAGAAAAACGGGAACAATTAGATGTTATTGATATGTATTAGTGTAATCTAATAATGGTTATGTATGAGCGTTGGGTCTGAGGTGTGTCCTGTTTGAGTGTGTTTGTTTTTCACCCTCCTCGCCCCTGTCCCTCTAAAATGTGCAGGCTGCTATGCCTCCTTTCTCTGGGGACGCTAAGATCTGACAACAGCTCAGTCTACACCCAGTGCAGGAAAACCCATCCCAGTGAGACAACTAGTTGGTTGACTTTTACGTGTGTGTGTGTGTGTGTGTGTGTGTGTGTCTCTTATGTCACAGCTTTGCCTGTCACGAATCATTTATTTGAGTAGACTGAGCATAAAAACAGATGAATATAGCTTTCACCCACTTTATATGAAGCAAACGTTATGGGTAATTATAGTGGAGCTGTGTTCTCTCATTAAACTTGTGTTGCACTCATCCCTCTGCGTAAGCAATATTGATTTTTGTCTGATTTTGTAATATCCACCCCCTATTGAAGGCATAAGTGCCCACTTAGAGTGCCTGAAAATGTTGTCTTAATGGCTTTTCTCTGACATTTGTGCCAAAACAGTCCGTCTGTAGGTTGACTCAAGGACAAAGACTAGGCCAGTCGTTCTGGATAAGTGTTTGGTGTTTAGATAAGTGTTTTCCTTTTGTGTCGGGTGGATTTTAGTTCCAGGAAAAGTTTGATCAATAAGAGAAATGCAGGAGCATTTTTTTTTCTTTTTAAGGGGCACAATGTTCACTCTCCCACACTGTGGGAGCTTTTCCTTTGTCGTTTTGCTTTTGTCTCCTTTTTCTTGCTGTTTTCTTCAGCTTCCAATTATTCTTTTCATCGTACCTGACTCTCTGACTTGTGTGGAACCTTTTCTCACCTTTCCCTCCACCTCATTTGTCCCACAGTGGCATATCTGTCTGTTGATTTTTTGTTTTCTCACTTTGGCTTCTGTTCTTTCCAGAGGAAATAGCTGCAGCAGCGGGGCTGGTGACAGTGACATCTGATTTAAATGTTATAAGGAGCTCGTATGCATATGAACTTAAAAGTTTCTAAGGATAGTTTGCATCAGCTGTTGTTGAAACTTACAATCGTCCTATACACTGAAAAAAATATTTTTGGGAATGTTAAATATCACCTTGTCCTCTAAAATGTGACTAAATATATTAGTTAAAGACTACAATAAAGGAAAATCTACCTATTTTTTTAAATTAACATAACCTTATATATATAATACATATAATACATAATCTACCCAATTGTAATGGGTAGAATGTACCCAAAAATATTAGTTCAGCACTGATGGATTACCTATTTTATTTAATTTACAAATAGAACAATTTTACATGTTGGCCAGAGTATCTGTTCACAGTTATTCCAATCCTTGCGCTGCTCTGGGTGGCTGCATGTTGGAGTAGCTCTGTTAACTGCATGTAAGTTTAGCCTTTTTTGTACATTTTTTCTTCTGGCGTCTTGGTAGGGGCTGTGTTTTTTTGGACCTTTTGCTTTTCTATTTCTGGTGCTGCGAAGCCTGGAGGATTTTCGCTGCTATTTTTTCACTTTTTGAGCATTTGTTATGATGCGTAACCACGGCAGCTGATTAACATTGGAAAGGCTGAAATAATACCTCAACTGAAGCCACAAATCCCAAATAAGCTAACACGTAAGAGGCGTGGATGCAGAGCGGGAGCAAAACGGAGACAGAGAAAGAGGAAATTCAAACCATCTCTTCCATCGATCATGATGGGCAATGTAAGATCACTGGCCAACAAGATGGATGAACTCCAAGCCCTATCAAGGACTCAGCCAGAGTATCGGCAGTGCAGTGTTATGTGTTTCACTGAGATATGGCTACAGCACCATATCCCCGATTCCAGCATCTCTCTGCCGGGATTCCTGACTGTACGAGCAGACAGAGATCTGAAGAGGAGTGGGAAAAGATAAGGAGGTGAAGTGGCAGTGCTTGTCAACAACAGATGGTGCCATCCATGTCATGAAATGTCGTCTCTGCAGCCCAGATGTTGAACTCTTGGCAGTAAGTTGTCGCCCATATTATTTGCCAAGAGAGTTCACCAGTGTTGTCTTGGCAACCATTTATATTCCACCTTCAGCCATTGCTGAAAATGCATGTGATGCCATCAGTTCCGTTGTCACTAAGCTACAAACCCAGCACCCCAAATTATTTGTGGCTATATCTGGCGATTTTAATCATGCCCCGCTCTCTGCTACATTTCCAACATTTCACCAGTTTGTCAGCTGCTCCACCAGAGAAAACAAGATATTGAATTTAGGTTATGCAAATTTAAAGAATGCATACATGTACAAAACAAGACCTCCTCTGTGACAGTCAGATCACAATCTTGTTTTTCTCTGCTCAGAATACAAACCACTTGTTCAGAGGCAACCTGTGACAAGAAGAACTGTGATGGTCAATGGACGCTGAAGAAGCCCTGCAGGGTTGTTTTGAGACCACAGATTGGATGACTCTCTGCCAAGGATATGAAGAGGACATCAATGCCATGACTGGATGTATCACTGACTATATAAACTTCTGTGTGGACAACAGCAGACTGCACGTCTTGAGGACGCTTAGGTCTTTCAATGTCTGTAGCAAGATGCTGCAGATCTTCTACAAGTCTGTTGTTGAGAGTGTAATCTCTTCAGCCATCGTCTGTTGGGGTAGTAGTATCAGAAGCAGGGACCTGAAAAGGCTCAACAGCCTAATAAAAATGGCTGGTTCTGTTCTGGGGATGACTGTGGAAACACTGGAGGAGATAATGCAAAGAAGGGTTCTCCAGAGAATCAAGAAAATTATGGACAATGCTGAGCATTCTCTTCACAAGATTGTACGACAATGGAAGAGTTTCTTCAGTCAAAGGCTTCTTCAGTTTCGCTGCAACACTGACCGCTACTGGAGATCCTTCCTGCCAACAGCCATTGTAATATACAACAACTCTTTGACAACTTGATTATTATTATTATTATTATTATTTTGAGCTACTACAGCAATCAAATTCCCCCTGGGATTAATAAATTATTTTTGAATTGAATCGAATTATGTGCTGTATTTGCTTTCCATTTCAAGTATTTATGTATCTAGAGTTACAGAAGCCGTACAGTTTTAAGGGAACATTTTCAGCATATCTAAAAAAAATATCAGTTAAGTTTTTGTAAACCAGAAATAAAGTAATTTGTATTGCTTTTGTTTGAATAAATTCATATTCATACCAGTTTCACATTGGGCAGCAGTATAGCTCAGAAGGTAAAGCAGGTGGTCCAGTAAAAAGAGGGTTGTAGGATCGAGCCCAGCTCTGACACATGTTTTTACAGCTTGTTATTTCCTAGATTAGAAAATTGGGTAATAATAAATGTCATTTAGATATTACCCTACTCCTTTAGGTAGTTCTGAACTTTAGATATAAGGTACTATTTAAAAACAGATATCAGGTATAAATTAACTAAGCAAATTGTTACGTACCTCAATTTTATTGGGTAGTTTCTATGAATAGCTTTTTACAGTGTGTTATTCATCAATGTTTTATAGTTATTCTTATTTTTTTAATTTTATTTAACAGGTTTACAGCTGTGTGCAGTACAGAAAGGAAGTCAGTTTACTCCATCCTGCTAAAAAGCTCCTGTTGTCCTGTCCTGGATGTGTCCCACTCTGGAGGTCTCTCTGTCCTGTCCACATTGCTGCCAGCACCAGCTCAGCTGACTTAAAACTCAACCCTATTTCCCAGTGTTGTCAGCCTTGTCGTCCACACCGGTAAGGCAATATCTTTACCTGGTGGAACTAATGAAAATATACATTTTAGAAAATATTTGTCTTAGTGAAGCATTGTCCCTAAAACCTGTAAGTTGTTCCTAGTTTAGTTCTAAGAATGATGCATTTAAACAGTCTCTTTAATCAATTTCCCTCTGGGATTAATAAAGTATTTTTGAATTGAATATTATTGAGTCTAAGTAGAAAACAAACATTGGGAAAGGTGCAGGGCATTTTGTGCAGAGTATGAGTTGACCATTGACCAATGAAACTGCAGTTTCAACACATGATGAAATGAATAAATATATTTTTGAAGGAAAGGCCAGCATGTAATCATGTTGTCTTCTATATATATTTGTTTTGGTTTTATTGCTTTACTCCAAAAGGTGTATGCATGTTTGTCAGCAACAAATATCATGAACTACTTTGTGGATTTTATTGAAAATCACAGAACATAATCACTGGATTTATGTCTTCAACTGATTGCTTGTCGCTGCCACAACTCAACATTACAGTGTGGGTTTTCTCTTTTGCTGATGTGGATATATAGGAGTCATGATCAGCCAATGGCCAATATGTGCTGCTGATTTTCATGGCCGATATCTAGACATTATATGCCTTTTTTCATTATATATATATATATATATATATATATATATATATATATATATATATATATATATATATATTAGGGGTTGTGTGAACTAGTCGACTAGTGGACTTCACTGCTCTGTAGTGACTTTTTATGCCTGTCCTCGACTAGTTGCTGTCACGTGATAATAAGATGCAGTCCTCGGAAAAGACAGCAGGTGAGCCCCTGCGCGTCGGGAGGCGGCGGTGACGCGCTGTGCCAGAGCGTCGGTACTAATACCCGCCGTAAAACGGACATTTAACCAAATTGTGACCTTTTCCCTCTTGCAATTTAACCTTCCCCTCACCCCCATCCTAATCTTAACCAGCTTGCGCATGCAAAGCTCTGATCGTTGAGGCGCTCCAGACATCTGCGTCCTGAGCACGGTCACAGTAACATTATCAAATTAGGTGTCATCACCACCTCAAAAACAAATTTAACACACGATTGTTCATGTCGGCTAATTTCCTTTTATGTTTTCTGTCTTTTATTTGTGCCTGATGTGTTTCGCTGCTGTGGAGCCAGGCGCATCTCCAGTTTTGTCCTCCGGTGACGCACCTCACTTACCCCAAAATTCCACTATCTCCGCTCCGCTCTATCCCCGCTTTCCGCTGCCGCTCGCTTCGCGGCCGGCGAGCAGCGAGCACTCCGCTGTTTTTGCGGTCGGTTGATCTGTTAGAACTGCAGTTCAAAGGCAACTCATTAGGTGAATATATATGAATCCATGTAGCAGTTTTTCTTTAGGATTGAGAGGAGATGCAGGAAGATAAACAGACAGGACAGAAAGATAGTCAAATAAAAACAAGTTAGTTTTTGTACCTGGTGGTTGCAACAAACAGACACAATTGAAGGTAATCAGATGTGAGGAACAGAAAATGAAATAATTATTTTAATGTTTAGAGCAGCAGGAACTCTGAGAGGCTGCAGGCGCATCAGTGAGTTTGCGGCTGCTGCGCAGAGGGAGGGGGGAGAGAGCTGAAGCAGGATGCAGAAACTACCGTTGCTAAAAGAGATGTTTAACTTTGAAAATGTGGGCGCAATTTTAATTGTCAAAAACTCCAGCAGACCAACCAACCCTCCCCATCCCTTGCCACTTCAGGTGTATGACGTCATCAACGACTAGTCGAAGTCGACTCGATTTTCATTACTGGACTGTCGACTTTAAAAAAAATTAAGTCATGCAACCCCTAGTGTATGTATATATATATATGTATGTATATGTATATATATATATATGTATGTATATGTATATATATATATATATATGTATGTATATGTATATATATATATGTATATGTATATATATGTATGTGTATATGTATATATATGTATATGTATATATATGTATGTGTATGTATATGTACATATGTGTGTATATATATATATATATATATATATATATATATATATACATATATATGTGTGTATATATATATATATATATATATATATATATATATATATATATATATATATATATATAATTCAGCAGCAGCACTAGGCAGTTGCTGAAATATAAAGGAGGTGAATATTGACCAGCTAAATCAGCTGACACACACACACACACACACACACACACACACACACACACACACACACACACACACACACACACACACACACACACACACACACACACACACACACACACACACACACACACACACACACACACACACACACACAAGTACCAAGTCAAGCCAAATAAACAGGCAAATAATGCCTGTACATCTGTGGCTCCTTCTGTAGTAGGGACATTTCTAGCTAGGATTATTATATTCTATTATTATTTCTTTTTTTTTCTTTTTTTTGCAAAGATGGTTTTTATTAAGACTAAAATGAAAAACAAAATACTTTTCTAGGTTGTACTTGGCCTGTGATCAGAAGACATCACTGAGTTCCCTGCTGGCCGGAGCGCTACTGGAGGCTACAGTTGGAGTCGGAGTTCGCTCCGCTTTACCCTGTCCTTTACCTCCGTGTCCAAACGGCCACGCTGTCCTGAAAGGTGAGTGGGTTTTCCATAATGCTTCTGCAGCAAATTATTAGTAATGAAAATAATTAGCCGCTGCTTCGATAAAAAATAGGTTTGTAAAAGAGGTGGGAGTTCACATTATTCCACTGTGGTGCGTGTTAATTCCTTCTCTTTTATGCACTGCAGGAGCTGCTTGGTTTGAGTTTGTAGCTGATTCCTCTTGCAGCCCTTCCCTTTCCCCTTTTTTCTTACGCTGCTGTTTTATCTTGTCATATTCCCTTATTTTGTTTGGTTTAAAAGCACACTCAGACATCATTTTACATCGAAGCCTTTTAGGTGGTTCCAGCTTTTGTCTGCTGAATGGTTCCATGAAAATATAATTTAAGCAAGATTGATTTGGATCGTGTTAGAAAACAAAGAAAATGTCATCCAGCATGGAACTTTTTTGACCTCTCAGTCCTGTCAGGTCGTCGCAGAGCTGTCCACCTTTTCTACAGTGCTACATATGACCTCGATGTAAGCTGACCCTGACTTTAATTCCCACTGGCACTGAGCCAAGGGACAGACTGTCTCTGGCAAGATCAAAAAGACATGCAGTTTGGTGCAAGAGCACAAAACGACTCATTTCCATTTGATTTTCTCTGTGACACGCTGGGTTATCCATCACTTCTTTTGGGAGAGTGGGGGGTCTCAGACAAGGTTTTGTTCTTTAAACTTTAACAAGCACATAAACACCCAGAGTGCATTTCTTCAACGTAACACTTTGTTCTGTTCTAATGAGTGTTCCAGCTAACATGATAGACGCATGCACACGTAGGAGCTCGGAGCCTTAGCCAGGAGTTGGAATTAATATATGCCATTGGCTCCCTGTCTAGTTTTCTCTGAGTCAAAGCAGCACATTGTGCAGATGTGTGACTTTGTATGCCTGCATGCATGTGTGTGTTTAAAGCTACACATTGATGAACTGATAATCAATACTTTGGGAAGCTACTTGGCTGGATGCCAGACAGAATCCACTGACAGATGCAAAGGTTTAGATTCTCTTGCTTGACCAATGCAGAAAATGTGAAATGATCAGTTGGAAAAAAAAACATTTTAATGTGACAGCAGTAAATTACTGACTGCGTGCTAGATTGAAAACACCTCTCACAGCGTCTAAAAGAAAAGGGCTGTGTGGAGGCTAAAACTTGGACAGTGTTGGTGGAGGTATTACTTCTTTCCATTTTAGGAATCATTTCTCTCTTCATTGTTATAGTGTCAACAACCAGCTTCTAATCTTTAAACTTTAAATAATAATGTTTTTTTTCCTTATCTTAAGTATTCAGTTCAACAGATAATAGAACATGCTTTCATGCTTTCTAGCCTGTTGTATTTATTAAGTAAAAAACATTGTTTCTTATCAATTTATGCGCAGTCTCTCTTTACTTTAATCAGAGCTATGCAGACTGTGTGAAGCTAAATTTTAATGAAATAAATCCCTTTGTTATAGGCTTGGGTTTGGTGTATGAGGTGAGTACTCACTACTTTCAGGTTTTAGTAAAGAAAAGAAAGTAAGAAAATATTTTATAAAGCGCCTCTCAAGATAAAAATCACGAGGTGCTTCACAAAAACAAATAAAATGAAAGTATAAAAAAGATTTTAAAAAATTATTAAAAATATGTTTAAAATGAGTAAAATATAAAAATTGTGAATTTAAAAAAATGTAAGAAAAGGGAGAGAGTGAACAGCAAAGAGGGAAATCAGTGGATTCCAGAAAAGGCAGAATAAGAGCAGAACAAGGAGAGGGTGGTGAAGGTCACACCAAAGCCAGCCTGAACAGGTGAGATTTCAGTTACTTTTTAAAGGAGACCACTGAGTCCACTGATCTCAGGCTCAGGGGGAGAGAGTTCCAGAGTCTGGGGGCCACAGCAGCAAATGACCTGTTACCTTTGGTCTTTAGCCTGGTGCTGCACAACCAGTAGACTTTGATCACTGGACCTCAGGGACCTGCTGGGGGTGTAGGGACTGAGAAGATCACCAATGTAAGATGGTGCTTGTCCATGTAAGGCCCTATAGACCAGAACCAGGATCTTGAAATGGACCCTGAAGTTAACTGGCAGCCAGTGAAGCTGGAGGAGAAGCGGGGTGATGTGGATGTGTTTGGAGGACTTGGTCAGAAGCCGAGCACAGGCATTCTGAACCACCTGCAGACAGTAAGTTTTACTTTATGATCAAACTACAGTAAGTGGCTGTAGCACCAACTATTTCCTACATAATCCATGTATGCCGACTCATCACATCAATTCAGTTACTTAATCATTTATACGAAACATTTTAAATGGGGAACTTGGCAGTTTTAGCATCCAATAGTGTTCGTTTGTAGAACCTAAACTAAAATCTACCTCCTCACTGTGCGTTTGTCCTTTTAACACCTTAATCTAACATCTGAAATGTCTCCCAGGCTTCATTAGCGTCTACAGGAGGGATTCATTTTATTAATTAGGATTTTGTTTTCACATAAAGTTCTTTCTTCATCTAGAATAGAGTAGACTTAGAAAAAAGGAAGGAGAACAATGATAACAAAAGTTCAAGTAAATATGCAAAAGGCAGTAAGCTGTTATGTAACCTTCAACCATTAGAACAGCGAATAAAAAATAATATGCAGCATAAGGGACACAGACATACTCATGTACATCTGGTATTGCACAAGTATTGAACACATACTGAGTATTGCATTGATGTTATTGTGTAACAGGATAATGCTAGAACCAGTTAAACTGAGGAGTTATGCACTCTTACTGCAGAGGGGATGAATGAGCCATGGTAGCGTTCTGTTTTACATCTGGGATGTCTCAGTCTGCCTCTGGAGGAGCTGTCCATGGTCTCCACAGTGGAATGCAGTGGGTATGAGGGGTTTTCCAAGATGGAGGTCAGTTTCACCATCATCCTCCTATCACACATGTCCTCAACTGAATCCAGTGGGCAGCCCCGATATCTATTCACCGCTTTTACTGTCAAAGCCAGATGTCCTTAAACTGTTAAAACCCCTCTGCTAAAGCCCAGTGGGACTCGGTGGTGTTTCTGTCATCTGCAAATGGTTATAAATAACTTTTCTTGAGATCATTTCCTTTAGAGCTTATTTTATTGTGCCATAGTGATGAAAAGGAAACGAGCAGCTCAGTTATGCCCTACCATCCTTACATTTGGATATTGATGTTTCTTTCTTTTTTGCTTCCATCATTTTTTGCTCTTTCATTTTCTCAGTCATCACTTTACATTGTGTTAAAGTCCCACCGGTTCAGACTCACTGACAGCAGTCTAAGCGAAGGGAAGTCTCAAGGATCTGCAGAGCAAGTATTGTTTACATGCTAAATATCAGTGTTGGGAACGTTTCTTTAAAAACAAGTTCAGTTCATAGTTCATAGCTGAGTATTTTTTAACTAAGTTTACAGTCCCAAAAACGAACCAGTTTATAGTATTTTTTTCACATACTGTATGTACACATACATATTCTTAAAACCATGAGGAAAAACTGTTTGAATTAGGCTTCATTTTTAATGGCTGGCTTTCTGGATAGGATCATGCTTAATTGTTGCTACTGTATGTTTTCCTCAGGTTTAGCTTGATATGAGAATGTAGCGTTTTTCACTTCTGGTTGATTTAAAGGCTTGGATTTTGGTGTTGCTGAGGTAGAAAAGGATGTCTATTGTTTAGACTAGCTTCTTCCCGTCATGTACGTGTGCAGTTTGCATATACTGGTGAACATTAAGCATGGTTTTGGAACAACTTTGAAACTGGAATTAAATCCATCGTTTTCAAGAGGCTAACCCACTCCCTAGGGCGAGTCAGCAACTTTTGTATTTTTTCCTTTCGTCCTTCAGCTAGGATGCCTCTTCAGAGTGAGAAAACCTCAGAGAGGTCAGTGTTGCTCTACTGAGGAGAACTCTATTCAGAATTTGGTTTCTTTGTTGTTTTCTCTGGTATGAAATGATGTCACTGAGTTCAGCTTGTGCTGGGTTACCTCTGTTTTATCCCCTTTGTTCTACTTTGCATCGCACTGTCCGTTACCCTGCTGGAGCCTGCATGGAACAAGGTTTGATTCAGTCGTTTTTTCGTTGTTGTTTTTCCTAATTTTCTTTTTAAAAGCAGAGCTATGAACAAGACCCTTGAACTAAAATGGTCCATTCATTGTTTCGATATTAAAAAAGACAAGAGAAGAACAACAAACTTAACTTGTTTTGACTCATTGTAACTTTCTGACACGGTCTTATGAATTTGAGCTGTCTGGCTGTCTCACTGTTGCACACGACCGTGAACTATGTGTGAGACCTGTACTGGGGGTGGGCGGGAGACACAAGGAGAGACAGAGAGAGAGGAGTAGTGGTGAGTGAAAGGGAAGTCTCTGCTGTTGAGGACAAAAGGAGCAGGCAGGTGAGTGACAGAGAGCAGATAGTACAAGTTGAAGAGTTGGAAATGGAGTGAAGGAGCGAGCCGCTGTAGGAGAGACGGGAATGTCGACTCACATGTGAACAAGTGTAGCTCAGTCAGCCCGGCACAGAGCTGTCGGGGCAGGAGGCAGAGCAGTCTGCGGTGTCCAACCCAACCATGAAGCACTCGCTCCAAACGGACTTCAAGCTGATCAGTGAGTAGGGAAACATTAGCTACAGAGTGACTGAGGGTGTCATTACAAGTACTAGTCTAATACTAGATTATATATATATATATATATATATATATATATATGTGTGTGTGTGTGTGTGTGTGTGTGTGTGTGTGTGTGTGTGTATTATAATTAACTGTTTACATCTACTAGATGAAGCATCTGTTCTGACTTGCAGTGAAACACTTTGATGCTCCTTATCTTCCCTAAAGACAAGCCAGCAAGTGTCAGACGTCTGTGTGATTTGTGGTTCATTACCTTATCTGTAGCTATGCCTAGCTGGTGTGTTCCTAGTTGTCTTATTTAGAAAAGAAATCTGCTTTATTTTTTTATTCCAAGTAATACATTTCTGTTACCTCTGACATTCAAGGCACAATGGCTGGTACTACTCAAA